GGCTACTGTAGGTAAACCAATGACCAGGCTACACTTTCCAGTGTATTCTGGGTAATCCAAAAAGAAAAAAAAAGCTGATTTGGTTAATCAGAAAACAGCTCTAGTAGGTAAGCAGAAAAAAGCAGTAGAAAATATTGGCACCACACAGCCAGTAAAAAAAAAAGAAAAATCCTCATCTCACTCAAACCACAGAGTGGAGAAAAGGGCAATATCCTCTTCTGTAAGACCTCCAGCCATAGGCAAGAACAGTGGTATACTGCATTATACTTATTATTGCTCTCTGATCACTTTATTAGGAACACCATATGAATACTGGGTAAAAACAGCCTCAGTTCTTCGTGGCATGGATTCCACAAGATGTCGGACACATTCCTTCAAGATTCTTCAAGTTCACTGAACTCACTGTCATGTTCATAAAACCGGCTTGAGACGACTTTATCTTCATGGAGCATTAGCAACACTGGAAGTAGCCATTAGAGGATGGTAAACTGTGGTCATAAAGGAATGCACATGGTCGGCAACAATACTCAGACTGTGTCATTCAAACCGTTAGTGATTCGTATTGAGGCGCCCAAAGCCAAGAAAATGTTCCCCACACCATCACACCACCACAATCCGCCTGGACTGTTGACACAAGGCAAGTTGGGTCCATGGATTTATGCTGTTGATGCCAAATTCTGACCCTACCATCTGCGTGCCTCTGCAGAAATTGAGACTGATTAGACCAGGCTACGTTTTTTCCAGTCTTCAACGGTCTTCAAGTTTTTGGTGAGCCTGTGCCAGTCTGAGATTTCTGTTCCTGGCTGACAGGAGTGGAGCCCAACATGGTCTTCTGCTGTGGTAGAACCTCAAGGGTCGAATGCTTTTCTCTCACCACAGTTGTAAAGAGTGGTTATCTAAGTTACCGTGGCCTTTCTGTCAGCTCCAACCAGTCTGGTTATTCTCCTCCGACCTTTCTCATCAACAAGGTGTTTCCATCTGATGAACTTCTTCAGGAGATCGGCAGTTTCAGAAGTCTGTCACCAACAATCATGCCACGGTCAAAGTAACTGAGATCACACACACCCCCGCCCCCCCCTCCCACATTACCTGAAGCTCCTGACCTGTATCTGCATGATATTATGCATTGCACTGCTGCAACATGATTGGCTGGTTGGATAAGTGCATGAGTGAGCAGGCGTACAGGTGTTCATAATAAAAAGCTCCATGGGTGTGTAAGCAAGTGTGATTTCTGGATTTCCCTCTTGAAACCTGTTTATCTTCACTGAATAGATTAACTCCTATAAAATATAATGCACTCACATGCAAAACCCTTCATAAAACAGAACCTTTGTAAAGTTTAGAAGACCCTGTTTTAACTGGGATTGTGTCAAGGAGGCATTTGTTTAACTTACCTACTTTTGTAAAAATTTAAAACTATCATTTGAATAAAGCAAAACAAGCTTCAGTCTAAAAATGAACACTTTATGAAGTCTAAAGAAAAACTAAACACAGGCATCATAAGGGTGGTACCTGTTGCGGGGCTATAACACTAAACTGCATCTTAATATACAGGTGTTCAGGTTGTTATATCCCTCCTGTGGATACAACCAATGCTACAGTTGATCCTACCTGCTTGTATTTAGAGAACATCCAGTCTAGCTGCTAAAGACATTTCACTGTGTTAACCCCTTACACTCAGAGTCTATCCTGCTTTTTAACTATAGTCTTGAAAAAGTGTAATTTTTACTAACTGCATACTAGCTTAGGAGACTATGGTGGTTACCTGAGTATAGGCAAAGTTAAGGAAAACAAATACATGTAAGCGCTGTGTGCAAGACAAAATATGATGTTAGAAGGTCCACTGGCTGAAAGATAAGCACAGCAAACAAAAACTTGAATGCCTCTCAGCCAAGATTAATAAAGGGTGACTGTCACGGAAACAGGAACAGATTTTAAGGTTCACTGCAGCTAGTCATTGGTGTGTAATGGGTGAATATACTTAAAATGGAGAAGAACATTGTTGTGATCTTAGATGATGGCCATTACCATTAGTGAGCATGGAACGCTCTCTCCCAAAGGCAGAAACGAAACAACCAAGTCTGTCACCTGTGCTTTCATTAAGAAACATGATAAAGCTACTCATGAGAAATTAAAGACATTTTTGAGAGCACTTCATCAGGGAATTTCTTGGGGGAGTTTCAGAAATTACGTGATTAAACTAGTGTCCAGATTGATACTGTGTGCGCCAAAATCCAACTCCAGAATGAGCCCACTGACTGTATCACAGATCACTGTCCCGGTTCGTTCATTTCTGCCTTTGGGATGCAGCTGTTATTGGATGCTGGAAAGTTTGCTAATATCACAAGGTAAAGAAAGCTTTAAAAAAAACAAAAAAAAAAAACCACATATGAATAGCATTTCAGGGTGGATATGTTGAGAAGCCTTATGGTGACGCAGATCAGGATAGATATGAAGATGATGGGACAGACAGAAAGAAAAAGGAAGGAAGGAAGGAGGAAAGGAAGGGCGTATTAAGAAGAGTAATCAGCAGCATAATCTCTATGATCTGACTGTTTATACTCTCTTATAACTTCTACCAAGAATAAAAACAAATATGTTGATAACGGCAGGTAAAAAGTTAACATGTATACTATGTCGTTTTTCTGCTGACATCTCGCAATTTTAATTGAGAATCAAATTATCTGATGATAACAGACTCAAGGTGCCTTCAGAGCACCAACATAACTGCTACTGCTTTGGAAATAACTGCTACACTCAAATGCCAATAAATAGGAAACACTGTGGGCTTTCAGAGAGTTTAACTTCTACTCTGTATTCTCTCAAACTCTGGTAGGATATGACTGACCTCTTTCACTCACTCCCTCTTTTTGTAAGTCATCATACACACCCAAGCACAAAGGCTCGTCGCACACAAACAGACCCAGTACTCTTTTCCTCCCACACACAAATCATTAGTGTAACATTTGAGCAACACATTTAAGAGTAACATTAATAAATACATTATGTTATATTTTAAAATCACTGTATCTATTGTTATTATGTGTGAAATGAGTATCAAAGTTATTCTAAGTATTTGTGGTGAAGCAATTAGTTCATCAATCAATTCCCTAATTAACTGACCAAGTCCATCATGGGTTCCACTTTTCATCAGCTAAAATTATTTATCACTTATCAAATAAAGTGACAAAACCCCCTGCTAGATATAGCCAGGGTGTGAAAATTAAAACGTGCCCCTGTTTTTCTTCGGTTTTATGACTGTTGGTCAGTTTTTAGTCATAATTCATAAGTCATAATTCTAATACCAGTGGTGGAAGAAGTATTCAGATCTTCTACTCAAGTAAAAATACCAATAGAATGTAAAAAAAAAAAAAAAAAACTTCATTACAGTAAAAGTAAATGTCCAGCATTTAAAAAAGTAAGAATACAAGAGTATTATCAGCTAAATGTACTTAAAGTATCAAAAGTAAAAGTACTCATTCTGCTGTAAAATGTCCCCTGTGACTGATATACTGGTATATGTGACATTATTAGCTATTACTGATGCAAATGTCTACCGCTGTAGCTGGTTGACCTGGACATACTTTTAACTATTTTACATACATATGAGTAGCTAGTTTAGTCTGGTGGTTTTCATCCTAGGAGTCAGGCTCCTAAAAAGGGTCAGAAGATAAATGTAAGGGATTGTGAGAAGATTAAGAAAGAAAGAAAACAAAGTTCTGATACACAATTGTGTATTAATATTGTCGACTTTTCTCTCAAATTTAATTTTAAGTGAAATATTGGACAATTTAACCTCTTAGGGCCTCTGTTATTTAAATAAAAGGATTTAAGAAGCTGAAAGATGAATTGTCTTTTGGTGGAACTGCTAATAATTCACAGACATCAGAAACATGACAAGGGGCCCCCAACCAGACACTGTTTTACCTTTGTAAATCACTGCTTTATCTTTGTATTTTATTAATTTGTCATATGCTTTTAATGTAAAGCCTTCTGTGTACATACAGAATTTCCCTCTGAAATGTTATGGAGTCAAAGTATAAAATAACACAAAATATAAATAGTCAAGTAAAGCACAAGTACCTCAATATTATACTTAAGTAGAGCACTTGAGTAAATGTACTTTGTTACTTTCCACCACTGCTGACAACTTATAATGGATATTTGTTTGTATATTAGACCAGTGGCTAAAATTAGTGATTAATCGAATAAAGAACAAATTAACCGACAATTAAATGCCTCTACTTTAGCTTTATATTGTAATAATTGAGGAGCAGGCTAAGTGTAGCTAGCTGCAAGTTTGACCAAGAAAAAGAAAAAACAAAGTTAGGTTGTATAAAATTTACTGTTCAGAGCTAATAGTCGTAAGTATCAGACTGTAGTTGTATTCGTGGTTTGGTGTTTTAGTGTGTTGGTGTATTCGTGGAGCAGAGACGACGCCCGACTGGTAGCTTTAGCCAGCAGCCGCCGCCATTAACGGCAGCAGACGGTAGCTAGCAGCTACTAACGCCACTGCAGGCCTGAAGGTTTCAGGAGCTTAATTTGACAGTTTCAGCTTTGGCTATGGTTTCTGTTTAACACACATTTGCCATACGGTTCACAGCAAGCGTCTACGTGTGTTTTTAATCCAACCGAAATTCAGTTTACATCGTAAAACCAATGGGCAACTTTACCGCAAGCTAACCGATAGCTTGTGGCTAACAGTGCCCACATCCTGATTCCAGGGAAAACATTTAGGATAATTTAGGTGTCTATTGACGCGTATTTACCTGTTTAAATTACATTATTAACAGCGGATAATACAGAAAATGTCAGAGTTAATTATTCTAGACGTCAGAGTACAGTCGGCGCTAGCTAATCAAGCATTCATACGGTCTTACTAGCGTTAATACTGACAGTCGTTTGGGATGCAGGTGCAGATACTATCCATTTATCTGATGGATCTGTTAACAGTCCTATGTGGTTAATGAGGATAAAACTGTGCGTGTGTGTGTGCGAACCTTTTTGATATTGTAAACACGGGTCAACATCCCGATGCCTCTGTCGTTGAGGATGGTGAGTTTTTCTGCCAGTTTCTGCTGGCTGGGCTGGATCACTCCCCGAGACATCTTCTCGCTGTTCGGTTAAATCTCCGATTCAATCCAGGAAAAAAAAATAAATATCACAGCTCTCCCGCAGCCTCTAGTTCCGAAGGGAAGGAAAAAAGAAGCAGTGATTGGTGTAGTTATTAGATTTCGCCCATGTTCAGCTACTCAGGGATAGCGGCTTCCTGTACTCCACCCCACCGTCTCCCTGCCTGTTTTTTCGGTCACAGGGATGAGGAGTTGTCCTGGTTTTCACAACGAGGCTGGCTCCCGCTGCGTTCACGGGTCCCACGTTAATAGTAAAATCCCAGATTCTGATTCTGAATTAGAGTCAAATAAGAACCTAAATCTACATCATAACCTATTTCTGATTTAGGTTATCTGATTTGGAATCCGGGTCAATCAGAATCTGATTCTTGATCAGGCTCAAACAGAATCTCATGCTGAATTAGAGTCGAATCAGAATCTGATTCTGAGTTGGGGTCAAATCACAATCTGATTCTGAATTAGGGCCAAATCAGAATCTGATTCTGATTCAGAGTAAATCAGAATCAGCTTTTTTTGGCCAAGTATGTGAATTAATAAATAAATAAATGAAAATATAATGAACGCGGATGATTTACTATTTTACTCAGAGTCCCCGAACGCATCATGTTGTTGACGCAGCTTCCGACTCAGCTGTTGGGTCAATGTTGAAGCTTTTATTGTCGCTGCGGTGGTTGTCACTGTTTCTCGTACAGTTTAATCCTGTAATAAAAACGCACGCAGGAGTTACGTACGATTGTATGCTGTGTAGACTGAAAGCACCGACGGTCTAACGCTTTCCGGGATTTTGCTTGAATTCAAATCATTTAGACCAGGTGGGTTTACGAAGCAGGAAAACTAAAATGACAAGACTCAGCCATTATCAGCGGTGGAAAACGTGCTCAGTAAAAGTAGTAATACCACAAAAGTAACAAGCAAACGTAAAAGCAGGATGGACCACTCAGAAATATGTACATTATATTAGTGGATTGTAATTAACGATGCGTTAATGTGTACATTACTTTAATATTACAGCTGGTAAAGATGAAGCTACTATTTAATTACTTTACACACTGCTGGGTAGCTATAATCGTCATCATAATCCATTTGTTGATGATGAATGTAGTGCAGTAAAAAGTAAAATATTTACCTCTTAAATGTTGAGGACTAGTAGTAGCCTATAAAGTAATACAAAGGTATAAATACTTCAAAATTGTACTTAGCTACAGTACCTGCGTAAACCTTCCTCCAGTGGCCACTATGTTAAAAACTTTCATGGCCACTTTTCAATACAAATTTTCCCTCTTTTTTACATTGGTTAGTTCAAAGTAAATACACCAAAAGGTAAAGTTTACCCACTTAGGTCATCAAACTGTGGGTCATCAAACTGTGTACCATGAAAGTGTTGTCAAGAAAACAGTGTTGAATTCTTAGAAATTACCGTTTCACTGAAAAAGACAAAAGTTAGTTTGATATGTTTTGGTGGTTGTTTTATTTTATTTACCTCTTCATGACTGGATATAAATGAAGCCTCCTGGTTTCTGTGTGTCTAACCTCATGCTGCCCGCTGTGGGCTTCAGGTTGTTTCAGCTGCTGTGATGCATTCGCTGGCTCAGGAGATCCACGGATTCTCCAAAAACCGTCTGAAGAAGCAGTGCACGCGTGTTACCACGGTGACAGGCAGGAAGCTGCTGGAGAGGAGGAGCGACGGAGGAGAGGGAGCGGTGGAGCAGGTGGAAGAGCTGGAGGAGGGAAGTGGATGTGGATTTGTAGAAGATAAAAGTCTGGACCTTCAAGTTGGTGTCGTTAGACCTTTTCTGCTGCTGGGTAACTGTTTCTACTACTACATCCACTACTACTACTACTACTACTACTACTACTACTAGTGATATTGTACTAATACTGCCATGAAGGAAGGTGTTGCAGGGAGAAAACAAGTCAGTTTTAACGGACCTGGAGGTTTCAATGCATCCATTTTGCATCACTTTCTTCCTTTGACAAAGTTAACCCCACTCCTGATACCATGTAATGTTTCTCAGTTAATCCTCTGAGGTCGACAGATGTTTCAATTAATTAACATGATCTAAAAACAGAGGTTAGGTTTCATGATAATAATCGTATATTGACCACCATTACTACTTCTACTACTGCTGCTCCTATTCTGCCACGACTACCAGCTAACCATAATAATAATAATAATAATAATAATAAGTCTCCAATAGTGTTTAATTCGAACTAACTTTCACCCTTGAAGCCCATTTTACACAGACAGATGTTGTGACATGCTAATGGCCGCACAGTGTCAGTTTCAGTTGGAAAGCCTCAGTGGAGCTTGTGAGGTGTTAAGTTTCCCGACAATATTAGTTTCATAGCGTCTCAGTCCTCGGAGGCACCAGGTCACGGTTGTGGTCCTAATGATAAATAAATAAATTCCTAATAACGAATAAATCAGTGTCATAGTTTAAATTCGTCTCAGGGAGCGAGGTGTTTCTGCAGTGCAGCAGGAGGACGCCAGCTGACAACCCCACACGTCAGCGTGTATCCGTCCTGCTGAAGTGTCCTTGGGCCTGACATTGAATCCCCTCCCAGCTCCGGGGTGCCGTTCACTTCTGTAGCTAACGCCGCCCTTTGACCTCACTGCTGGAGAGAATCAAGGGGAGAATTTCTCAGCGGAGATCAATGAAATATTACATCTGTTAGGCTCAACAGAGGTGACCCGTTTTCCACACAGTGCTTCACTTCGGCTGTAACAGCATCAAACCGCTGTACGGGCAAATCAATCACTCGAACAGCTCCACCTTTACTTTAGGTGTCTTGCAACACGTCCATGGTGACTTGCTATGACACATTATGGGATCAGCTCTTTGAGAGGTTTGAATTAAACTACCTTGTCCTGACAAGCTTCTCCAACACTGTTGGGAATGCCTCCTGTTTTTTTCCTTTAGTCCGAGCCCATTTCAGGCAATCGCTCAACTCGGCAAGCAGTACTTTATCTGATGCTCTTGTCACAGTTGTTATATCATGTGTATATGCCCTGTGAGACGAGACTGGAGTGAGAGCAATATAGTGTGATTTAGATATCTCTTGTATATATAGCATAATATTCTGCCATTCTTTGGTAAATTCCAGCTGTGATTATTATTTTGACGTGCACACTGATATGATCAGCACCGGCATCACAGATTAATATAAACCAGACTGATAGACTGAGCTGTTCACAGCAGAATTTATGAATGACTAAACTTAATAACTTAATAAAGCATATTGTCACTGTCCAATGAAAACCATGTCTCTGAAATGTCAACTTGTTTTCTAGGAATAATTAAACATTGTCACTCCCATGTCTGTAGAGCAAATATGAAGCTACAGCCAGGAGACACTTTCCAGTCTTGCTAAGTCATGCTAAGCTAAGCTAACCAGCTTATTTTACCATACAGATATAATTGTGGGAGCAATCTTTTCATCCTGGTAGGAAAAGCCTCTATAAACAGCGGATCTTGTTCTGTGCATGTAACAATAAAGTTTTGAATCTTTTGAAACAGGTTTTCTTTTTAGATAATTCTGTCAATTTTAGAAGAAGTTTCTTTCACCTGATCTGAAAACCTACATATTATTTCTCACTGGGAAGCAGCAATATATGTACAGTAGATGGAACCCACAGGAAAATTCAATCAAGGCACTAAAAAGCCAAATGTTAACAGATATATAGTTTTATTTCTAAATATAGAATTTAAAGAATATTTTAAACATTTGTGATTGAAAAAAAAAAAAAAGAAAGAGATGGCTTCTCTTGTTTAACTGAATTTGGTCCCGTGTCTTACTTGTATTTAAAATATCCTGGCATTCTTGCGTCATTTCACAGATGTGTCAGTTTAAATCTTTCCCTTCGACACTGATGAGGCCTATGTGCCGGAGCTGGCTTATTTCCAAAGACGCTCTATCCTTTGGATTTAGATTTCCGTCTGAACCCCATGAATTTGGCATTATGTGAAAGTGGCTTGGCTAAAGCAAAGAGTGCGTATTTCCTACGTTTGAAGGCGGTGAGCTGCTGCGGAGTATCCACTGTGGAAATCTGGAGGAAGCCCTACGATCATACCCTGTTTCCTGCCCATATGTCTCTTTCACATAATTATCCAGCTCCTGCTATTGAAAGCTACCACTGCTGTCTTCATGAGGAGTTATTTGACAAATTGAAAGGGACTGTTGCTCGTTCTGTTTTAACTGTCTCCTTCAATGATTATCTGCTTTTCTCAACTGACACAGTCTTTCAGGCCGACTTGCTGCACAGTCCTCTCATTTTATTTCCTCCATTAGTCTTTGACCTGCTGCAAGAGTCATTCCAACTCTTGCTTTTATGAAGGCTGTTGTCATAAAAGACGCCTTTGCTCCCTCTTTTCATGAAAATCATATTCTCTGCAGCTGTAGATAATATTGGATGTTTATTTCAGCAGTTTTTTTTTTTTTTAAGCCTTTCGTCTTGTGCTACTATACAAATCATTTGATTCCTCTTTCTGCTTTTTTTCTCTGTATCTTTAAGCCATTTTCCTGTTGGTTTCCGCTGACTGATATCTCCCCTCCTTGGTGTTGCAGAAAGGGTTTCCTTCCTAAGTGATATAGGTGCTGATATCTTGCGGATTTTGCTTTCGGCTGCTGAAGTTTCACACCACTAAACTGACTGCTTTATTTTTTGGGGCATTACTTTCTTTCTTTTTTTTGTTGCTTTTATTATGACGGATGCAATGAGAGGGAGAGATAGGAAAGACATGGCATGCAGCAAAGGGCCCGGGCTGGATTTGATCTCAGCTTCCAGGGAGCCCTCGAATTGACTGTCTTAACAAATCTGTATTTACAGTGTCAGATTGTTCTCTTTATAAGGCACTGATTGTTCCCTGGTTTAGAGTTAGAGAAAACTTTAATGTCCTCAAAGGGAAATTTGTCTTGGGCACAGTGCCTCAGTCCGTTTTTACATGAAGTAGAATAAAAACATCACAGAAACACAAACAATTTGACACAAAGCTAGACAGTTGCTTCACACAAAACATCCCAAAAACATGAGGAAACATCTAGCTCTACATTTCACCCTGACAACACCACACAACACCACAATGACATATAAATGAACATTTATAATATATTTATAGTATTTGTTTATATAATTAGGAATAAGGCTGCAACTAAGGAGTGTTTTCATTATGCAAGCGATTAATT